ACACACACAGAGACACACACACACAGACAGACACACACACACACACACACACACACACACTGTCGTGGCACAGATATATTTTCCTCTCGTCTTTCAGCAGATCAAACTGTCAGTGTCTCCCCAACGGCTCTTTCCAGTGTTTTCCGAAGCCTCTGCGTCACACACACAGCGACTGACACACACCATAACAAACCTTTATTACGAAACGAGAGCTATTCAGCTACAGAAGGTGGCGAGTTTGAACAGGAGGAGCGTCTCGAGCGGCCGCTGCACTCGTGTGACGGCACAGACTTGTTTCAGACTGCGGGATCCCACCACAGGATATCATCGGAAACATTCCCTCCGGCGCTGGCTGGAAGAGGACATACAGAGAGCAGAAAATGGGAACTTACCTTTGGACCAGGTAAACCAGGCAGCCCGGGACTCCCGTGAGGACCAGGTGGACCCTGAGAGACACAAAGACGGACAGTCTCTGTAAATGTACGTAACGTTCACACTTCACAAACTATCCTGCATTAGATTCATCTCGAATGGATTGCTGGAAGAAAACTGAGTGATACACATCACATATTAAATATTAAATGTTAAATGCTAAAATTAGGTAACGTCACAAATATTGTGGTGAAGTTTCTGTTCGCTGGTACGAAACTCCCACTTTTCCAGATCAAATCAGCTGGATAATATCAAATCCCGTCCCATATTTCTTCTCAAATACCCTTTTCACACAGAAATACAATAAGTTGAAGTACTAAAATGATTAAAACTGAAATAAAATAATACAAAGACAAATAGAAATATAAAAAAACTACTAAAACTGACAAAAGCATGCAATTACTAATACTAAAAAGAAAATAATGCATAATTCCAAATAAATAGATTATGATTCACAAATAAATGTAAAGAGATTAACAAAAAATGAAACATATTGTCAAATAAATAGAATGAGATCCACAAATCTTTTTTTCTGTTAATTATGTTGCGCTGCTTGTCTATTTTTCTTCAAAGCACCGACTTAGAATGCCTAATGTTGGTTTGATTTCTTGTGTTACATGAGAAAATAAATAATTTTGCCTACCTGATGTAGCAGATTTTTTGCGAGTGCCGTTCGTGTTGCAGTCTTTATGTCAAACAGGTCGGGTACATATGGGGGTAGAATTGTTGCATTATTCCAAATAAATAGATTATGATCCACAAATAAATGTAAAGAGATTTACAAAAAATTTAACATATTGACAAATGAATAGAATGTGATCCACAAATAAATCTTAGAGTTTCACAAACATTAATTAAATTCACAAATAAATAAAATGAGATTTGCAAATAAAAAACATATTGACAAATATCTTTTTATGTCACGAACACAACTTCGCCTGCCATTCATTTGTGAATCGCTCGCTGTGCATTTGTGGATCGCGGAGCGCATTTGTGGATCGCGGAGCGCATTTGTGGATTTTGAAACATTTCTAGCGTCAAGAAGCACCAATCAGAGAACAGCCACAATTCGCTGACCAATCACAGCACGTTCTCGCCATAACCAATCACGTTTTGCTTTACATTCAGGGCGGTCTCGTCCTGAAATAACTTCATTCATCTGCATTGGCTCAAATAATGCAGGATCAATGATTATTAGTCTTTCTGAACAGATATTGAGTGTCAGGGATGATCCTGACAGAGGGCACCTGAGAATAAACCATCAATCACTGACTGACAGCAGCCGGAGAGCCTACAGACTCCAGAAACACGATCAACTCAAACATCATAAGGAAAGAGTCCAGAGACTGTAAATGTACAGAGATATAAGTGTATGTGGTTCCTGCTGCCAGAAAAGCATAACACTGTAGTAAAGAGGTTCTCAACGACTGCATGACACAGCAGAGAAAACCCATGCTGAATGTATAATAAATAATAAAATGCAACTAAAATGGATATTAAGATAATGAATAAATAGGCTCATCAAACAGTTTGCATATGGTTTGTTGTTGATATGTTTTGTTGTCAAAAGCTGTACATCCAACCAAACACAACACAACCCAGACTACTTCAAATGTGGCTTGCAATGAACATGTAATGAAAAAGAACATGGTTTGTGTTTCGTGTGGTGAATTACTGGCTGCTGAGATCATGCAACCATCTAAATTTAGACCTGTAGACATTTAGAAATTGTTTAGAAATTCAGCCAATGCCATGTTAATTTGGGTGTTTAATTTATGACAATTTTTCACTGGTTTATGTAAAGCAAAAGTGATATTTAGTTGGGTTTCCACTTATATAATGTTAATTATATTATGAATTATATATGAGTGCTTTTGTTTCAAAATAAATATAAATAAATATAGTTCCCAATAAAAAGAAAAATAAATAATTGTAAATAAATAGATAAATAAATAAA